TTCACTCCATCCCATATAGTGCATGCCCTTACTATTGGAGTCCTTCTGCCAAAGAAACCTCAGTCCGAGCTTCTCGATAGAGTTGAGCACACCACTCGGCACCTCCGTATGCGCTAGAAGGTACGCAGGGATAATAAGCAGTGCGGAGCGAATCAACAGAGCACGACCTGCATACGAAAGGTGCTTTTTCCCCCAAATATTCGTCTTGTCATGTGCACTCCGAACAACCTTAGCAAAATCCGCCACCTACAGTTTTCGCATAACCAGCGGAATCCCCAAATAGTCGAAATGGTCCACACGGCGGTAACCCACCGCCCTGGCAATCATCCGCTGTTTCCACTTGGGGCAGCGTTTGTTAAAAAGGATCGCCGATTTATCCTTGTTAACGCACTGCCCTGTCCAGCCACCGTAATCCCCAAGGATATTCATAATACGGGCAACATTATGCCTGGAAGCCTCCGCGAACACCAGGATATCGTCCGCATACAGCAGGTGCGAAATTTTCTCGGCATTGGGGACAATGCGGATTCCCAAATGATCACCACGTTGCCTGAACGCCCAAGGTAAGGGGACAACGGGCACCCCTGCCGGAGCCCGCTCAAAGCCTGAATCCAAGGAGACCGAGTGCCGTTAATCACCAGCAAAAAACGAGGCCGCACAATGCACATCATGATCCACTGAATAATGCGGTCAGGGAACCCAAATCGAAACAACACCTGCTGCAGCGTCTCCCAAGCCAGGCAGTCATACGCCTGGGTCATGTCGATCTTCAGCGCCATCATACCCGCACGTTGAAACGAGTGTTGGAATTTTCACATCATCTCCTGCGCAACGAGCCCATGGCTAGAGATGGATCTCCCCGGAACAAAGGCACCCTGTTCTTCGCTAATAATGTTGCCAAGCACAGGCTTAATTCTGTTGATAAGGATCTTAGCCACAACCTTATAGAAGGATTGGCACAAGCTGATGGGTCGAAATTTTGACGGAGTGTCCGCATTTGTCGACTTGGGCAGCAGAACGACCAAGGTGTCCTTCTAGCTTTCACACATAGAATTAGAGCAGAAAAAATGGAGGATAGCACGAGTAATGTCGCATTTAATAATATCCCAGTAGAATTTGAGAAAGGAAACAGTAATACCGTCCATCCCCGGGGCGCGGTTGTTACCCATGCTGAAAATAGCATTTCGGACCTCCAAATCCGAGACATCAACCTCCAGCTCCCTGCGAAGATACTCCGGAACAACCTCATTCTGCTGGAACAGAGGCCAATTATCCAGCCTGACCACTCTGTCTTTCCACTTGAGCCGAAACAAGTCCATAAACTCCTCTTGGATACAGTTCTGCTCAGACGTGCGTTCCCCATCACTGCGCTGAATCTCCAGAATACAGTTCCCTCACCGCCGCGTCGACGCAAATGCGTGGAAGAAATGGGAATTGGAGTCACCCTCCTCGATCCAGCGGGCCTTAGCACGTTGTCTCCACCGCATCGCCAACCTAGCCAGGGTAGAGTTGAGTTCAGCAGCCGCCCGCCGCAATTCAACATCCTGCACAGGGCTAAGCCCCTCTGGGGTGCATTCCAAGAGCTGGAGTTCGCCGATCCGAGCCTCAAGCGACACCTTTAACTCATCCAGCTCCTTCATGCGATTCCGGCTACAAAAGAAAAGCCCACGCAGCGTTCTCGAACACTTACGGTTGAGCACCTCATCCGGCCGACCAAAATCATTCTTCGTCCACAGCTTCTGTACCAGCTTCCACGTAGCAGGGTAAGTTCGCCACGTATCTTCAAAACGGATCCTGCGACAACCAGAACTCGGAGTGACACATGCCAATCTCAACAGCAGGGGGCAATGGTCCGACACAACGCGGAGCATATGCCGAACCAAAGCCAAAGGAGCCAGCTGAATGTCAACGGAGTTCATCAGAACCCGATCGAGTCGCACCCAGATTTTACTATTCCCAGTCTTGTTGTTCGACCAAGTATAGTTCGGGCCAATGAACCCCAAGTCATGAAGGTCATTATCAATCAGAAAGGCCGCCATCTCTTGAGCGCCAACAGGAAAGCCAAATCTTCTGCCTCCCTTCTTCTCACATTGATCCAAACAATAGTTGAAATCCCCGCCCACAATCACCGGGAGTTCATCATCAATACACGAGCTCAGGACTTCCCATAAGCCCCGTCTAGTGTGATAATCCTTGCCGGCGTACACAACCGCCAGACACCACTTCTCACTGGTAGGGAACACCAAGTGCCCCACCAGCGCCTGATCGAACATCCTAACCATCTCAAACTGAATTTTATCATTCCTCCACAACGCAAGCAAACCGCCCGATCTCCCACTAGCATGGAAATGAACAAAGTCCCAACAAGGGCCAATAAGAGCATCCACATCCTTTCTGGACATATCCTCAACCATCGTTTCCACTAAACCAACAAACATTACCTTATTGCTGCACACGATGTTGCGGAGGAAGTGCCCTGTCTGCTTCTTCCGGGCCCCCCGACAATTCCAGAAGATGATGGAAGTCATTGACAAACTAAAGGGGAGGCGTCCCCGCCGCCAGACTAATCGCCCAAGGCTTTCTTCCGCTTGCGTGGGAGTTCCCCATCGGACCTACCCAGACAGAACTCCATACCGGCATCAAAACTATTATTCAACGGCACCACAAGCCCTGCCCCAGCAGCAGTAATGAAGGGCTGAAACGCCCCCGTCCTGGCCTGTCGAAGGGTAGACTTAATCAAGTTGGGAGGAACCTTAACTTTGCTGAAATCTACCTACTTCAGAGGTTTCCCCAGCTGTTTATTGGCTGTATTACTGTTACTACGCATCAAAGGAGTATCTTTCCGACGACGGCGAGGGGGGACCTGGATCCACAGCCCAACGAACTCATCAACCTCAGAAGAGGTGGCCCCCCTTACAGATTTCAGGACAAAAGCATCAGTCGGGAAATTCCGGGGAGCAGAGGCATTGGGGGGTTTAGATGCCACCCCTAGGTTTTCTTCAACGCCCAGGGAGCCATCCATCCCCAAAGCGTTCGACCCATAAAGACCAGCAGAACCATCCTGCACATAAGGAGCCGAAGAATTCAGGCCCGAATGATCCACCTTAGCTGGGGCAGCTCCGTCCTCCGCCCCCTTAGTGAGGGGGGCACGATCACCCGACCGCACCTTGGCATGGCTACTGGGCTCCGGAGCACGCAACGGGCAGACATCCCTACGGTGACCAATCCGCCCACATCCATAACATAATAAACCAATTCCTTCATACTCAACCTTATGATAGAATCGCCCATTCAGGCCATTAATACAAATATCGGCCATCAGCTGCTTGGCCAGATTCATACGAATGCACACCCGAGCGTACTCCCGCCTCCCCCAAGAACCAGTCTGAGCATCAATCCAAAGGGGCGTCCCCAGACGCGAGGCAATCCTGGAGATGTTACACTCATCCAAGAAATGAAGCGGGAGGTTGGGCAGCCGTACCCAAATAGGGGAAGATAGCCCCTCCATAGATGTCGGGGAGAAGCCCGGCGTCCACCTATCAAGACCGACCAGGTTACCACCAATGAACCAGGGTCCTCCGCTAAGGACCGCATCACGCGCCTCACGAGACGAGAAGATGCATATAAAGCAATATGACCCCATGGTAGTGAGCTTGAACTCACCAAAGCCCCCCCACTGCCGTTGGATTTCAGACTTCAACAGGAAAACGAAACCTTCTTTCCCAAAATTTTTCCTACCACATCCTGTTCAAGCTTGGCCATATTGGCCTTAACTCGACCCAAATTGAGATAAATCGTGTTACCATCCTCAGCAAGAGCATTGATATCCTCTGGGCGAATAACCGGTATATGCTACGGTTTCCTCCACGGGTTCTCCATACGCCCCGGACAGAAAGGTTCAATAGGAGGATTCGCCGCCCGCGGCACCTCACATCTGACACTGGATTTTCCAGAACCAGCATTATCACAAACATCTGGTGGGCAACTAGTCCCCATGTTCACCTCCGGGGACTCAGCCCCCGCCCCGAGCTCGCCAATCGCGTCCACCCGGGTGACATCCATAGCAGAAGCCAGCGACCCAGGCCCCCCCACTCCCGTGTTCAGAACTTCATTGCCCCATTCAGCTACATCCGAGCTAATCGCGAGTGAACGAGAATGTCTCGGCAAAGCAGCGTCGACATCGAACATTTCCTCATTATGTTCCTCAACCACAGGCTCGCAATTGTCCATCTCCATCAATCATTTTGCCGGACTGAATGCCGGATTGACCGACACCCGCATTTCCGGGTTACGCGAATCCGCCCCAGACACCTTATGGGGAGAGCCCTCCGCCTTGGCCTTGCCAGATCTGGTCGGAATCGATCTGCTCGGCGCAGATTGTAGCGACCCCCTAAGGTCGGCACCCCGCATTTTGATCTCCCAGCGACCCTCGACACCTTCATCAGAACCAGATCGGACAGGGTCCCGAGCTTTACCTTTTCCCCGAGCCGCCCCAAGCCTGCTTGGTGAACCATCCCCAGCCTTTTTCGAACCTCCCGTACCGATCCCCGACCGCCTCCGTTCATCTCCCATAGTACCGCCGTCGCCACCCCCGCCTGAGCGGGGAGGTGACCTTCGGTCCCCCCCTGCCATACCTATAGAGTCTCTCTCTAAACAAAAATT